TACATTTTTGGGGGAATTATACACTCTTTGAGGGCAGGAATCAGTCCCCAGTTATTTGATGACCTCTATGGAAGCAAGCATGGCATCTACTAGATTGACATTTTTAAATGCGCCTCCTGCTCAAAGCCTTTTGCGTTTGTGTCTTCTCCTGATTGTGGTCAATAAGTAGTTTTCTTTTCTAATTCTGTGAAGCATCAGATTTCTGGACTCAATCTAGTCCCTTTCATTTCTGTTCTCAAACAACCGATATTTGCCTGAGCTTATCTGTCTTCGTATACCTTGCTAAAGGTAACTTCTGGGGACATCTGAGCCAGAACCACCCAGCTAAGCTGCTCCCAAATTTCTGAACCACAGAAACTGTGAGATAATAAATGTTCGTTGTTTTAAACAGCTGAGTTTTGGGAAAGTCTGTTACACAGCAACGTGTAACTAATACACCACTCACGCCCCACATCCCTTCCGATTTCCCCCTGAGAACAGGAAAAGGAAAGAGAAATTGCTAAGAGTTCAAACTTAGGTTTCACCTACTTATACAATAAGATTTGCTTCAACAGAATCCCCTCCATGAAGCCTTTCCTAATAAACCCCAGTCAATTCCCATATGTTTAGAATATTTTTTAATTTAGAAATATTTTTATACATTTTAAACCCAGTGTCTTATCTAAAAACATATTTCCTGTTTTTAAATTAACTTTTCAAAATATTTTTTTCTGAATAGAAACATAAATACACATAGAAATTTTAGCACTCTAAAGAGAATTTAAATCCCCTGAAATGTAACCTCACTTAGGAAGACACTACTGATATTTTTACTATCCAGTTTTGCATATGTTTAAGCAGATAATTTTGCATACACAGTTTTTCATCCTCTCTATCTCATGCAGTGACCTTGCCTCTCAGTGCCTTGACCTTCACACTTCAGCAACTGACTCCATGGTCAAGTTCTAGACCAAACCCTTGCTATTCAAAGTATGGTCCAGGGACTGGCTACATGAGCCTCACCTGAGAGCTCATTAGAAATGAAGAATCTGGGCCGGCCAAGTGGCGCAATGGTTAAGAGCTGGCTTGGGACACCAGAGGGCCCCGGTTCGGATCCCATATATGAGGGCCAGTGACACTGCCCTCCACAGCTAAGATGCTGAACAACAGCTCAACCTGGAGCTGGGTTGCCGTGAGTTGCTGACGATGGCATAGGCTGCAGCCCCTGTGGCAGTGGATTGCCATGGGCTACCGTGTGTAGCCAGCAGCCAGCGTGAGCAGCCAGCAGCCGCAGTGAGCGGCCGTCCAGAAGCCGGCGACTGATCTGCCTCGCCCGGGAAGAGCGCAATGATGGTGCCAACTTGGGCCAGTGAAGCAACGTCCTCCACAACTAGACTGAAGAACAAAAGGGCAGCAACTTGTCCGTTCCCCTTCCCCTAATTCCCCAGCACTGTTCCCATCCCCCAATTCCTCAATAAAAATCTTAAAAAAAAAAAAAGAAATGCAGAATCTAAGATTCCATTATGCTCTTACCACAGGACATCTGCACTTCCCACTACCTGCAAGACTAACCCTCCAGTTATTTGCATGACTCATTCCTTCACTGCACTCTGGTCTCTGCGCCAATGTCACGTGCAAAGAAAAGCCATTCCTGACCGCCCTACCTAAAGTTACATTCCTGTCGTGCTCTATCCCCATATCTTTACTTACTTCACAGCACTCATCACCACTTGACATTAGTTTATATGTATTCATTTGTTTTTCCTTCCACAAATACTTATGAACGCCCACGATGTGACAGACACTTCTCTAAGCTCTGGGGACAGAGAGAACAAAATGAAGTCCGTGCCTCCCCCGCTCTAATGATTGCTATCCAAATACAAGTTGTTAACTATTGTTTCATGTTTATTTATTTATTAATTCCTTCAAGAAGAGGCCCAAGCCCCACCATGCACAGAAGGCTCCATGCCAAGTCTCATGACTGAAACCCACCCTCAACCGTCCAGCTTCTATTTAGAAGGGAGTCCTGTGCTAAGCTAAGTTTCACTTGGTTGTTTTCGATCCCAGTGAATTGCCCAATACGGCTTCCCAGCAGTGAGAGTTTCCGTCACTTGATGTAAGCTGCCAACTACTGCTGGTAGTTGTCTTATTGCTGGGCAATCTATCTCACTTCAAAGGGTTCCCAAAAATGGAGACCAAAAAAATCATCAACATCATTTCCAGCAGCAGCAGCAGCAAGGCGAGGCCCTGATACAATTTTCAAGGAGCGAAGTTTGTCCTTGGTGTCCCACGACTTGCTCTGCCACCTTCGTCCTACCCTGCAGCACAGGTAGGTCCCATTCTTGGAGGCCTGGCTCTCAGCTAGCTGCCCTGCATCCCCTCCCTTGCACATCAATGGGAAGTGACAGGACGCTGCCAAGGGAGGAGAACGCCGAGGGCTTATTCTGCGCTAGGAGTCGCTTCTCCCCACCCAGTCATTTCACTACGGGAGCAAAACACAACCTCTGAGGATGTATTTTATCTTTCATTTGATAGCTAAGAAACGGAGGCTCAGCGGGATTATGTAACTCTCCCACATCGCTCGGATGGTCTAGAGTCCAAGCTCTGCCTTTCAAGTTTCCTGAGCCTCAACAATTCAAAAGCAAACATTTCTGAAGGTGGATGATCAAAACTGATGGTTAGAAGGACTTTTTTTTTTTTTTTAAACAGAGGTGGGAAGAGAGTGTGTAGAATGTTGATGAAAAGCGAGGATCTGTGCAGCAAGGTCCTTCAATTATCGGCTTGGCAGAATTCACACATAGCATGGCTCTCAGATGATGCCTATACCCACTCCTCCACTTCACAGCCGTGCAGCCGGAAGGCGCCAAGTGGGGGAAATACGAGTGTACTTGTATAAACCTAAACAATTGAGATGAGCACCTACAATAAAAGAAAAGCCCCCGTACATTACATTTACAGGGACCAAGTTTTCTAATGGTCTTGCCTGGGACGGGAGAGGAGGTAACCAATTTTTCACCCATTTATAAAACCACAGCGTTCCCATCTGTAGTCATCAACATAAATAAAGCACTATACTTTTGTAATTGTGAGTAGGGAATTACCATTTCTCAGTAGTGTCCAAATTTAGTAGTGTTCACATGTCTGCATTCCCCTCCGATAGTTGTTGGATAAATAAAAACACACAGGTTTAGCATAGGAAATGATGTATGTAACAAAATATTAACTAAGCTTATCAGGCAGATATATCTCGTTTAGAAATCTCTGTCTTGATTCTTAAAACTACTAACACAAAGAATCAAAATATAATGGCTCTCACAGCATGTTTAAAAGGACACAGAGCATGGGATGAGCTCTGTCTCAAGGCCCAAGAAACACTGAGTTCCTCATTCTCTACAGGGCTGACAGGCCAGACCTGTCAGCTGGTCCTGACCTTGTCCTTAGAATGGCAGAGAGAGGCGTGTGTGAGACGTAGTCTGTTTATAAACATTTGAACGCAATCAAATAAACCACAGAGCTCTGACTCTGTAACAAGTACTGTATCACAAGAGGTAGGAGACAGCCTGCTAGGTAAGCTAGGATGTACACTAAGAAAATTAAATAGTTCTTGTATTAATCTGCAGGTGAATGATACTTAACACCCTCTGTGTGCGAATGTAGCAGGATAATATTTTGATTTTTAAACTGACATGTTTTCCCCTCTCAGGAATTCTTGTTACCTGTGACCCTTTTCCCATCCAGGCTTCCTTGGCACTGTGCCTCGGGGAGGGGGTTAGACTACAGAACAAAAGAGGCAAAATCTTGCCTTTTGAATTTCAAAGCCTGAAATCTTGGCAAAAACAATATATTTAAAAGAAAAAGAGATCTGGAAATGGTAATAGATTTTTTTTTCTACCCCTAAGATAAAACTAGGGGGAAGAAACCTGGCAGGGACAGGTGAGATTGGCAAAAGCAAAAGAGTCAGACCCTTCGGTGGGTCACTACGCAGAGGCTTGTGTTCTGTCCCCTTTGCCCTGACCCAGCTGACTGAGTTCCTGAAGCCGAGGATAGAAAAGAGGAAATTGGGGAAACCGAGGTCTGCCCCTCACGTCCAACCTCCCGCTGCTGCCTCTAGGCTCAGGTAAAGCCTCTGTGGCATCCGCCTGGCGTTCTGAGAAGACAGAGAAGGTGTGTCCAGACAGCCTGGCAGGGAGCCTGCATGCCCACGGAGTTCAGGAACAGGCCGGGTATTCTCCAAGCACCCAAGTGGAATAGCTGTGAGACTCAGATCTGAACAATGGTGAGGCCAAGGACCACGAGCACGTGGCGGTGACTTACGTGGGACACGGGCACTGCACGATGGTGCTCAGCTCAGCAGAAGCCAGCATGGACTGACGATAAACACTGAGGACTGGCGTCTACCCCCAGCTTCCTTTCCGCATCCCGAGAGCCCCCTAGACTCACACAAATACTCCAGGTCCATGCTCCCACTAGATAAATATCCATCCCAGAAAAGAAGAGCCCAGGTTCCTCACAAGCCCAGCCCCATCCACACATTCACGTGTAACCAGCTTCATCCAGAAATATTCTCACAGGGTCCAACTAGATCCCCTACACTGTAGACCCAAATGCTTTCTTTTTCTCATTCTTAAGAAGTAAAGACTGGACCACATAGTCTGCAAAGAGGCCCACGATGCATCAGAAGAGGGAAAAGTGTAAGGTCTCCAGTGAACCTACGTTCCTGATATACATAAAAGAGCTCCCTTTTGAGCTCAGATACTAAATCCAAAGCCTGAAGTGGGAAAGTCTGTCTCCCAGACTCACCTCTCCCTGCCAGCCCTCCAGGTGGGCACATTTCCCACCTGAGCGGCTAAGGCCCTGTCCTTCTTGCGATGTCCTCTCACTATCTTCCCACTGAACGGAGACTCATTCACATTAAAGTGACTCAAAACAGTTTGAAATTAAACCCCTCCTCCTTCTCTGTTCCCACGACAAATCAGTTGTTAAATCTACCTCTGTGCTCTCTCTCCCCCCCTTTCCATTACCTGGAAATGCTGTTCTTTGACTAGTCCTTCTCCTCAACCCAGGAACATGGTAGAATTGCACGTCCTCTCCTTTTTGAAGTTGGTAATGGCCAACCATGTGATTTGCTTTGGCCAATAAAATGTGGGCAGGGGTGTCGTATGTTTCTTCTGGTCGAAGCGTTTTTTTATTGCAGACATTACAGCACTTGCTTCTTCCTGCCACTGGAACTGACAACATTCCAGAAGGCGGAGGCTCTGTTGACCTGATTCCCAGGGTAAGGACTCCACATCTACGTGAGCAAGAAATAAACATTTGTTAGATGAATTCACTGGTTGTTATAGCATCATAGTCTTGCGCACCCTGACTAACATGCCTGGGTTGCTGTTGGGATTCGGGCCCTCAGCACTGCTCATCTGAGCTCCAGCTCAGGCTACATAAAGTGTGGTCTGCACACAGATTTTGTCACCGGTCTACAATGAGGTAAGTACAGAAACTGAGAAGAAACATTTAGAAATTCTTATAACAATTTAACTAAATTACTTTATCTGTTGAATCTATTAATAAAATATTTGGGCTTATGTTCGTCCCAAATCTTAGCATTGTGCCTTGCTACTGTGGGATGCTACCTACATGCTTGTCATTAATTTAGATCAAAGCTTCACAATTAAGTTGTAGAATTACGGTAGGATTTCAAGCAATAGCAAGCAGATCTGGGGCTGGGGGTGAAATCATCACTGAAGAGTTCCCCGTTCCCCAAGTCTGCTCTTTGTGCCAGCACAAAAGTTAGCTCTAACAAGCAGAGAACCTTTCTGAGCTCCTTCTCATTTAATATTAAATATTGTGTTAGGTTTCCCTACATAAGTGCATGGATATTAATGTAGTTATTCTTTGTAATAAAACTTGGTACATATTTTGTCTACAAATATGGTTTTCCAAATTACCCACAGACTGCTGACATTTTGATACAGTTGTTCAGAAGTAAGAGAGGATAATACAATTGATCCCTAAATCACATCCTAACTCCCTCTAGCACTGAGGCTCTTTGACACACACTAATGTATGTCTCTGCACCAGACAAGAAAGAGGCAGCGTGCTATTCTGAAACGCACAGTGGGCTGGGTGTTAGGAAACCTGGTTCCAGTTCTCATTACTTACTTACTACACAAAGCCACTGCTTAACCACTTGGTACCCTAATTTCTCCATATATTAAATGAAGATAGTAAGTTAATAATAGCAAGTAAATTTGGGTTGCCAGAAAAGTAATGACATATTTTTTCTATGTTTTTCAAAGGTCATTTATTTATATAAAGAACAAAGATCAATCAATGATATATTGCCCGTTTTGTTTGATAACCTTCTGCCATCTTTCAGTGAGCTTCATAATTCCTCGTTCCTAGAAGGACCTGTCTTTACTGGCGAAAAATTGAACAAGGTGCTGATTTACAGCCTCATCTGAATTGAACATTATACCACACAAGGAGTTTTGAAGAGAGTGAAACAAGTGCAAGTCTGATGGTGCAAGGTCAGGCAAGTATGGTGGGTGTGGCAACACATCCCATCCAATAATTTTTGACAGATGATCAAACTTGTGTGTGGTCTTGCCTTGTCACGATGGAACACAACTCCTTTACAATTAACAAGCTCTGGACGTTTCTGGATGATGGATTCATTCAAACTGTCCAATTGCCAACAGTACCCAGTCGAATTCATTGTTTGGTTCCTTGGGAAGAGCTTGAAAAACATGACACCTTTAAAATCCCACCACACTTAGAGCATAACCTTTCTCTGATGAATGTCTGCTTTCAATGTTGTTTGAGGCAAATCATCATGTCGGGACCAAGACTGATTGTGCACCACATTGTTGTAAACAATCCACTTCTCATCACCAATTATCAGTTGCTTCAAAAAAGGATCGTTTTCCTCACGTTTAATGAGCATATTGCAGATGTTTATATGCACCGTCAAATGAACTTGAGTTCATGCGGAACCCAAATATCAAACTTGCTTACATATCCCAGCTTCTTCAGGTGGTCATGAACACTTGAATGATGGATGTTCAATGTTTCTGCAATCTCTTGTGTCGTGTAATGTGTGTTTGACTCGATCAATGCCTTTATTTTGTCGCCATCAACCTTGGTGGGCCTCCCTGATTGAGAAGTGTCTTTGAGATCAAAATCACCAGCACGGAATTTCGTGAACCATTGTTGGCACTGACGTTCTTGTAAAGCATTGTCACCGTAAACTTTATGCAACTTTTCACAAGCTTGATCCGCATTCTTCCCTTTACAGAAACGGTAAAATATGGCGAAAATGCAGTTTGGTCTTCCATCTTCAACTTACTGTAGAATCTCCAAAACTCCACCAAATTGCTCAATTTTGTTTTAGAATGAAGCTTGAACTATCAGCTGTCAAATGATACAGCAATAACATAGATGGGAATGACTCTAGTACTTCCAAAAATGAACTACTGCCATCTATTGCAAACATGCGTCATGACTTTTCCAACAACCCAATAACATCAGCTCCATTGTGAGAATCAAAATAAAGAGTACTGAAGCGTTTGGTAGTGAATAAAATGCCGCACAATTACAATGTAGCATTTATACATCAGACTGCCTTGGAATGCTCTAAAATTATCTTGGATACATAGTCTCTCTAGCCAGACAATAAAATCTTGAGATGCACTGTGCAATATTTCTTTATGTCCTATTCAAAGTTCAGTCCTTTGGGTTAAATAATATATGTACAATAATTGAACACTGGTTAATATGCCACAAGTTGTTGAACCCCTTCACTCTTAAGCAAACTATATAAACTTCATGTACCATCTGACAGGTATTCCTCAGTCACACTGACAACACCCTTTCAGGGCTTTGGCAAAGGACAGTTATAATTGGCTGAGTTCCTTGAGGGCAGAGGTCGTATCTCATGAATCTTTGTATCCCGAGCACTTACCAGTCATCTAGGCACATAGGAGGAGCCCAGGTAATGTCTGAAGATAAATTAATACAGAAATGAACTTTAATTAGATACTTATACCTCCATTCAGGACCCTGGAACCTAAAAAGCTACTCTTTGATTGATTTTGGTTAAACTGGTTTGGGGGAAGCTTTCCAGAATCATCTAAACATTTTAAAAAGCACACCCATCTAGTAAGTCACGTGGCTTTCCCTTAGTGAGCACACCCACTTCTCACTCAAAGATCATTAAGAGGTTTAGGCTGCAGGAGTGGGGGCTGGTAAGGAGCAGAAATGATGCTACTGTTCTGAAAGAAGGGAAAACTGTACTGTTAATTGTGCAGGGGACACGACATTATTCTACATATGTAAACAGTCAAGGTAAAAATACGGCCGATGAATAAAGAGCTTCTGTGGAGAGCTGTAACTTCGGCAGGAGCCACTGTGCTCGGGCGCTGGGGCTGCAACGGAAAAAGTGACCTCAGAGAGGAATCCAGAGCAGGAATGCTGCGGAAGGGACGACGAAACACTGTGAAGTCTTGGCTACGTCCTTCGGTCCCAGGCCTATTGATGTATAATGCTGTTTGAATTTCAGAAACACACATTACATGAATTTGTAGTTGACTATTCTGTTCTAATGGTGGCTTCGAATTCCAAAGTGCCACGGCCCTCATGCTTCTCACAAAGGATCTGTAGTGCTTAGGAAACCTTCTAGAGAGGCCCAGGAGCAGACACAAAAGACGTTAGTCTGGGGTCACTGGGCTTAGATCCCCCAACGTTCCACTGAGCTGTCTGCATGCTGACCAAGGACCCCAAAAAACAAAGACATGCTATCTGGAGAAATCATCACACGCCCTTTCCCCCCTTTCCTGCTTCCATCTAGGGAGGGCTCCCCCTGTACAGAAGCGCTTATGGGTATTACAGCAGGCATTTGTCTTTCACCACTGGTATTCAGCCAGTTCAGAGTTTCAGAACTGGGGTCTCTTACTATGTAGAGGTGAACCTGAAATTTACTGAATAAATTAGTCTTTTGCAAGGAAAAAATGAAATGCATCATCTCACATGGGTATGAACAAAACCACAGTCTAGGAAAAAACAGCCCTCCCTCCCACCACGGCCCCAAACGAGCTTTATTTTAAATATAGATCTACATTTTGAGCAAAGCATGAATCAAGTCACATATGTGATGACAGTAGAGAGTGTAATTTTAGAGGCATGCCAGAAAGAAAAAGGGGGTGTGAGCACACAAAACTTATATTTTTTATTTATGCCATTTCCCACAGATTGAAAATAAATTTGCAAGAGCACTTCTCAAGCTGATCCGCTCCTAGAGTCAGAAAATTTTGTGCTTATTTAGCAGTGCCCTCTGGCGTCCAAATGAAATCATTTTAGTTTGCCCTGAGGCAAAAAAAGTAAGCCACTGTATAATTCAACAAGTGTACAAGCGGCCGTCATCCACCCACCAAATATCTATTAAGAGTCTAGTATAAATGCCAGTTACTGTGGAAGGTGATGGGATACACAGATGTATAAAAGGAGACGTGAATGTAAATGCAATTACAAAGTTACTTGATCACACACACACACAAAATCACTTTACCTAGTTTTTCACTAAAATGAGACAGACACGGCTAGGTCGTCTTCCTTTCCGCACAGTTCTGGACCATTATTCATATTAGCAGGTGTCTGGACGGCTTTGGATAGAACTCTGGTCAATTACACAGAGAACATTCTGAAAGTAAACATTCTGGGACGTGGTTTCAACGACGTCTGTCAGAAAGCTTTCACAGTCAACCTCAGAGGACACTTCTGGTCTCGTAGTTACCGGGGAACCACCGGTCACCAGGTCTAACACACAAAGCTAACATTCACGAAGCTTTACATTTCCTTCTGAAAATGCACCATTTTCCTAGCACTGTGATGAAAAGCTTCAAAAGGAATCAAGTGGCAGAAACCCTAAGAATTCATCATACACTGTTTTCGGATCCTTAGATCTGCAAACTGCCAACTGGAGTTACAGAGGCACACACTGTTCTGAATTGGTACGACTTCAGGCTTTCTGGGGGAGCAGAGGAAGTCTGAAAGAGTTCCAAGAAGTTCCATCAAGAATAAAAGTAAAATTCAAATATCATCAAAAGTAACAATATCACTACTACAGACCAAAAATGATGCTTTTATGCCATTTTGTAGTGTTCCTACTTTTTGCCATTTTTCCATTTTTGTTAATGTCGTTTTCTAGAGTAATTACCTGTGACTTGCTTCTAACCACAGAATATGGCAAAGGTGACAGAATGGTCAAGAGAACATCACGTAAGATTACGAGGTCCATCC